ATATTTTTGATATTTATTTTATATATTTAAATGCCATTTAACAAAGAAAAATCAACCAAAAAATGAGTTCGTGTGTCACCTCTGACACACGTGTCATAGGTTCGCCATCACTGCCCTAGGGTTTTCTTGTTTCTAAATTCCTGGGCCTCTGGTTCTTGTTAGGTCAGGGAGGATACCTGAGGTCAAAATTCCCTTTTCCCCACCAGGCTAGGGTTTGATTTGTCTACATTTCTCTACCTACTGCCATAACTAACCTGAAGCCATCAGTCAGACATCCCCTGAGGGCTCTCTGACTGTGAGAGGACTCAGGCCGGGCTGAGGGACCCCCGAGTGCACAAATTTCATGCACGGGCCTCTAGTGTCAATATGAAGTAAGAAAATACATAATTAAGTTAATAGTTAAAGGATAAAAAATATATCATGCAAACACTAATTTAAAAAATCTTTAGTGGCAACATTAATATTAAACAAATTAGATTTAATAGCAAAGAATATTGCCAGGGAAAAGGCCATCATTTCATGATGATAAAACAGTAAATTCATGAAGAGAGCATACAAATTCTAAGCATATGAGCACCTAATAACAGGTTTGAATAAAAAGAGAAGCACAATCTGATGGAACTGTAAGAAGAAATACACAAATTTATAATTATAACAGAAGATTTCAGTATTCCTCCCTCAATAATAAAAAAGACTAGAGAGGAATTATTAATAATATAAAAAACTTAAGCAACACTATCAACAAACTTGTCCTAATTGACATTTCTAGAACATTATTCCCAACAATAGCAGAATATACATTTTTAAGTGTATATGTAATGTTTACCAAGAGGAACCATATGTTGGGCCACTAAACAAGTTTTACTAAGTTTTAAAGGATTCAAATAATACAAAGTGTGCTTTCTGACCAAGAATTAATAAAGAATATCAGGTGAAAATATTCAAATATTTAGAAATGAAATTATATACTAAACAAACCATAAGTCAAGAGGAAAAAGTCAAAGGAAATTTAGAAATACTTTCAGCTAATGGAAAATGGAACAGAATATATAAAAATTTGTGAGATAAACCAACAGAAATGCTTAGGCTTAGAGGGATATTTATAGGACTAAATGCCTGTAACAGAAAACAACAAAGGTCTCATATCAGTTTTCTAAGATTTTACCTTATAGAAACTAGAAAAAGAAGAGCAAACTAAATTCAAAGTAAGCAAATATAATAATACTAGAGGCCCGGTGCACAAAATTCATGCATGGAGGGGGGAAGGGGGAGTCCCTCAGCCCGGCCTGCACCCTCTCCAATCTGGGACCCCTCGGTAGATGTCTGACTGCCTCTCGCAATCTGGAACCGCTGGCTCCTAACCTCTCGCCTGCCTGCCTGCCTGATCACCCCTAACCCCCTCTGCCTGCCTTATTGCCCCTAACCACCTCTGCCTGCCTGCCTGATCACCCCTAACTGCTCCCCAGCTGGCCTGATCATCCCTAACTGCCTCTGCCTCACCCTGCACCTGGGACCCAGGATTCCCTCCTCCAGCTGGCCGCAGGCATCCACAACCCGGGCTGGCTTTGCCTTGGGCTGGCTGCAGCTGCAGGGGATTGTGGGTGGGCAGCATCACCCAGGCCTCAGCCACAGGTGCCTGGCACCCCAGGGTGTGCGGCTTGTCCCTCTCCTGGGCCGCAGCCTGGCTGGTCCCCATTCCTCTCTCACGAGCTCATTTGTGCCTGGCTGGTCCCCATTCCCCTCTCCCCAGTGTTGAGTGTCTGAGCAGTTAAGGTGTGACTGCGTGTGGGCGTGATGGCATGAGGGCATGACGACCATTTGCATATTAGCTCTTTATTATATAGGATAGTGGAAATAATAAAGAGGAAAGCAGAAATCAATAAAATAGAAAATAGAAAGGCAATACATAATACCAATAAAACTAAAAGTTGGTTCTTTCATAAAAATTATGAAATTGATAAACCAGACTAATCAAAGAAAAAAAAAAGACACAAATTACTGTCAGAAATAAGGGGAGGGAGGGCAGGCTTACAAAAACATCTGAGGCAACTTTTCAGGGTGACTTGAGGATATGTTCATTGTCTTGATTGTGGTGATGGCTTAGCATGGATATATGTACTAGTAAGTAAAAAATTTACCAAATTTTAAATGTGTGCAGTTTATGGTATGTCAATTATCTATATCCTACCTAATAATAGACAAACAGGGATTTATTAAAAATAAAAGAAATAAGAAAGAAGCAGGTCCCCTCAGATAACGGAAGCATTTCCATTGAGACCACTTTCTCATTATCTTAACTAACACAATTTCAAACCAGGGAAGCCTTTCCGCACAAATGTATTTCACAGCAGAATTTAACATAGAAATATTATTTTTCTCCATCTTTATTTTTCAGAGCAGATTCCTTTGGCAGAGTAAGCTTTTCCCACCCAGTCACCATCCAAATGACTGGAGATGAGAGTTACATCTGCCCTATTCCATTGCTTCCGCAAGGGATGATTCCTTATGTTTGGTCCACATTGCATCGTCTACAGGGCTCCCAAGGATATAAAGTTATTTCAGTTATTTGCAAAGTTTTGGCAGAATTTTCCTCCATATCGATTATCTATAGCAATCCCCAGTGAAGGTGTAGATGTTTATTTTCAGGACATGCATCTTGATTCAGTTACATGTGTTGCTCTTAATCGCTTAATTTAAATGTTCTCACCCTCAGCCTCACATAAGAGTCATCTGGGAGAAGTTTTGTATTGTGTTTAGATTTTAGGAAACCATAAGAAGCATTTAATCAGTCAGCTGCTCCATTCAGTAAGCCAGCATTCTGAATTTCCTTACCTTAAACTTTGGAGTTAAATTAAGATTCCTAGATCTGGAAAAACATGTTTGACAAATTGAGGGTGGAACTAAGGAGCCCATTGCTGAAATATGGATTATGATTAATTCTTACGCAGCCATTTCAAGTGTTCTAATTATCTACACCACTGAGTTACACAAGTATTGATACAAACTCATATAAGATGTCCACATAAACACTACAAAAGTTTCCAAACCACATCACATTAGACACTTTCCATATTCTTCAACTTCAAGAATGAGAGGATACAGCTTGTAAGAATGCCTAACAAATTCAAACACCAAATACATTTGCAGTCAACATTTCTTTTACCTTAAAGAGGAAACATGTGTCAAAGCAAGATTTTCTTGTCTATTCATTAATATAAGGAAATACTGCAATTTTAAAGGATGATTTCTACTCCTGACTTAAAAGAAATTGGGTCCTTTAAAGACAACTGAGATAATGGTGCTGTTGTATGTATCAGATCCCAAGGCTTATGGAAGCATAAGGAGACAAAAAATAAAAAGCTAAAGCAAAAAGAAGTTGGTTCAAAGAGCACAGTTGGTGAGTCTGTGCCTGGAGGAAGCCACGGGGTTCATGGGAAGCAAACAGTAATAACAGTCAAAACAAGTAACCGAAACCTGGAGCTGAGATGGATGTGTCAGTAGCAAGGATAATCCCCTGCATAGTTTTCCACAGTGACTTTTGGTGAACTAACAACTGAGAAGGTGAGGTAATTGTCACTTGGAGAAAAGGATCTCCCTCCTGAAAAGTTTCCCCAGAGCCCCCTTCATGTCTCTGTTCCTCAGGCTATAGATGAAGGGGTTCAGCATGGGGGTCACCACTGTGTACATCACTGAGGCAATTATATCTTTGTCATTGGAGTTGTTTGATGATGGGAAAATGTATAGAACCACAATTGGCCCGTAGAATAGAAACACCACGGAGAGGTGGGAGCCACAGGTGGACAAGGCTTTGCAGATCCCTTTGGTAGAGGGGACCCTCAGGATGGAGACCCCAATGCGGACATAAGAGGCCAGGATGCCAGTCAGTGGTGTGATGATACCCAGTGCCCCCACAGTGAAGATGACCAACTCATTGATGGAGATGTCAGAGCAGGACAATTTGAGCAGAGCTGCAAGATCACAAAAGAAATGAGGGATAGTGTTATCAGCACAGAAGGACAGCCTGGCCAGGCTGAGAGTGTGGGACATTGCACTGCTACATGAAAATAACCAGGATACAGCCACTAGTGAGGTACACAGTTTTTTCCCCATGATGGTGGTGTAGTGGAGAGGGTGACAGATGGCCACGTACCTGTCATATGCCATCACTCCAAGGAGAAGGTTATCAATACAACCAAAAAATATGAAGAAATACATCTGTGTTACACACTCTGCGTAGGGGATGGATTGATCCTGAGTCTGCATGTTCATGAGCATCTTAGGGACAGTGACAGATGAAAAGCAGACATCAGTGAAGGCCAAGTGGCTGAGGAAGAAGTACATGGGCGTGTGCAGGCGAGAGTCCAGCCTGATGAGCAGGATGATGAGCAGCAGGTTGCGCACCGTGGTCAGGTACATGCCCAGGAACAGGGTGAAGAACACGCCCTGCTGCCCTGGCGGGATGGGGAGCCCTAGGAGGAGGAACTGGGACACGCTGCTGTGGTTCTCAGGCCTCATGCTCCTCCTCTCTCTTCTGGGGATGAAAGGGCAGTGAAAAATGTCAGAGACTTGGAAAGAGTGATTATAGCCACCACAGTAGGGTCTCTTACTTTCTCCTGGAGAAAAAGAATAACTTCTTGAATACGTATCATCAGCTAGCTCTGCCAAAGCGAGCAACAACCCTCAATGCCAAACATGGTTTCTTTCAAATTGTATGCATGCATATAAGCATAACCAATGGACACAGACACTAGGGGGGTGAGGGCATGTGCTGGGGAGAAAGGAGACATATGTAATACTATATGTAATACTTGAAACAATAAAATAAAATTTAAAAAATAAAATAAACAAGGAAAAAAAGGAAACATTAAGACCAGGTCCAGCATAAAAGAGGCACGCCTTAAGTGAAAGTTTGTGTGTGTGTGTGTGTGTGTGTGTGTGTGTGTGTGTGTTTAAAAAGCAACCAGACTGAATTTTTTCCCTCATTTTTCTCCCGTCTATGACAAACACCCCCCACCCCCGCCAAAATCCAGCTTTAAAGCCATTTTGCAATGGTTGTGATTTCCAAATTAAATACCTTGTAATTAAAAAAAAAGAAACCAGAACAAATTCATTCTACTTATTATTTTACTCAAACAGGTTCCTGGCACTATGCTACCTAATTGAGGATGTAAGAATAAATGGGACACACAGGACCTCTTTCCTTGGCCCCCTGACCCTCTGGGCACACCTGACCGAGGACTGAATAAAGGTCAGGCTCTGCAGCCAGATTCCTTATGCTGCGAGTGAGTCTGGCCTCACCGCTTTTCTGGGTGGATGACTCGAGGAGCTGATTCTCTTGGCCTTATGTTGTGCCACAGTTTGTGAAGATACCAATGTCACACATTCCTAGAGTTAATAAGTGGGTTCTAATTCAAGACACATCAATATATAAGAACAGTGTCCTGTATAAAATAAACATACACAATTTTAGCCATTATTTTTATGACATGCTAACTTTCCAAATAAAGCCAAGATCAAATGCAGGAATTTAATTTAACAGCATAATGAGATGGTCAGCACACTCTTCTGATCTATATCAGGGCTATGAGTTCTGATACCTTGTGCTTCGTGCTGTTTCCTGAGTCCTCACTTTCGGTGCAGGAAATCCAGGATTAAAGTAAAGAGAGCAAACCTTTGTTGTTCGAAGACTTTTACAGACTTTCATATCTGTTCACCAGCTTCAAAACAGTGGGCAGGAGATCTCCTTTTACCATCAGAAAGAGACCTCAGAGGGAGGCAGCCCCAAGTCCCTGAGTAGAGCAGCAACCAATTGGGATAATTGCCTAACTTCCTCCTGGCCCCTTGGGAAGGAACATGTTTAGGGGCCAGAGGAGCTGAGCTGTACCTGGAGTCCCAGGAGAAAGTGTCAAAGCACTTTACCTCGGGCCTCTGGTCAAGTCTCTGGATGGGAAGCAGGAGGTTCCCAGTTGCTGGTGGCCTCTGCATCACAATTTCAGCTTCTCTGCACAGCAGTGTATGGGCTTCAGCAGGCTCACAAAACAATACACAGACCTCTGTTCCAACACAGAGCCCCTTCAAATGTACTGGTCTCCCCATCCTCTGTGGGGTCCTATAGGGTAGGGTCTGGACCTTGTTCAGGGGCAATAGGATTGAGTCTGTAGGCTCTGGGAGAAAGACTCTGGGCTCCGTCCCCTTACTAAGAGAGCATGTCTGAGAGATTTATCAAAGATCTCTGAGACTTGGGTCCTTCAAAGTGGAAATAATAATAATAATAATAATAATAATAATAATAATCCTTCAAAGTGGAAATAATAATAATACTCTTCAGATGAGCTGAGGGATGATTAAATGAGCACATAATGTAAGCTTAATAAATGTTCAGGGTTATTGTCAATATCTCTGTAACACCAGGCATCAGCTATGGCTGAAATAGGCACTTGGTAATGTTGAATGATTCATTTGTTCATTCATTGACACATTCTCTTAAATAATTATTAAGGTTCTCACAAAAGTAAGACAGTGATATATACTCTGGAGACACAGCAGTGAATAAAACAAACAGAAATTCCTCTTGGAGAGCACACATTCAAGCAGGGGGAGCAGAAAACAAGTTTTAATTAAAAATATGGTAGGTAAATGGCAAAAGTGTTGGGGTACAACAAAACCAGGTTTGGAGCTCTGTATCCATGGATCTATTTCTGTTTCTTTCGTTTGTATTTATATTGTTCTTTAGATTCCACATATAAGTGAAAATCATTTGGTATTTGTCTTTCTCTGACTTATTTCACTTTAGTATAATAATCTCTAGGTCCATCTTTGCTGTCACAAATGGTACAATTTCATTCTTTTTAATGGCTGAGTGATATTCCAGTGTGTGTGTGTGTGTGTGTGTATAATAGCTTTTTTATCCACTTGTCTATTGATGGGCCCTTGTGTTGCTTTCATAGCTTGATTATTGTAAATAACACTGCAAGGAACATAGTGGTGTATATATTCTTCTGAATTTGTATTTTGGGTTCCTTCAGATATATACCCAGAAGGGGAATTGCTGGCTCATAAGAAAATTCCATTTTTAATTTTTGGAGAGAAACAATAACAACATTAAGTATGCTCATGTTATTCCTCTATTGAATAACTTCTAGTGGGTTCCCAAATCACTCAGACTGAAAACCAAAAACTCTGCTATGGTGATCAATTTGGTGTTAACTTGGCTAGACTACAGTATCCAGATATTTGGTCAAACATATTCTAGATGTTTCCATGAAGATTGTTTTTGAGATGGGATTAACAATGCAATTAGCAAACTCTGAATAAAGTAGATTGGCCTCCAGAATGTCGGTGGGCCTCATATGATCAATTGAGGGTCTTAAGAAAAAAACTGATTCCCCTTCCCTTCCCTTCCCTCTTTCTCTCTTTCCACACATACCCCTATTGGATCTATTTATCTGGAGAACCTTGGCTAATACACCTACTATGACTGTAAGTACCCTACAAATATGGTCTCCTGATACCTCTAAACTTATCATCTACTATCCCTCCCCCACTCAGCCTTGTCCAGCTTCAGAGGCCCCCTTAATGTTCCTGCAATGGACCAGGCACCATCTCACCTCAGAGTATTTCAAGTTGCTGATTTTCGTGCTTGGAATGCTTTTCCTTAGATATGCCCATGGCTCACTTACCGGTCCTCACTAATGTCTTTGCTTGGGTGTTACTTCTCCAATGAGCTCTACTTGAGCCACACAATGTAAATTAAAAACCCTGACCACAGCACTCTGATTCCCCCCCTTTTTCAATTGCAGTTGACATTCAATGTTATATTCATTTCAGGTGTACAGCTTAGTAGTTAGACATTTATATAACTTACAAAATGGTCCTCCTGAGAAGTCCAGTACCCGTTGACACCATACATAGATTTTACAATATTATTGACCGCATTCCCTAAGATGTACTTTATATCCTGTGACTATTCTATAACTACCAATTAATACTTCTTAATACTTCACCTTTTTCAGCCATCCTCTCACCCCCTCCCATCTGGCAAACATCAGTTTGTTCTCTGTATCTATGAGTTTACTTCTGTTTTGTTTGTTCGTTTATTCTCTCTTTTTTTTAGATTCTACATATAAGTAAAATCATATGGTATTTGTCCTTTCCTGTCTGACTTATTTCACTCTGCACAATACCCTCTAGATCCACCCACGTTGTTGCAGATGGAAATATTTCATTTTTTGATAGGCATTTTGCTCCCCCTTTCTATGCTTCCTTTATTCATGGCAGTTTTTACCTACAAACAAAACTTAGAATTTATTTCTTTATTTCAGATTCAGACCCATCTCGTGTAGAGCTGAGATTCCAGTAAGGAAACAATGACAATAAAGGGAATTAGTAAAGCTATGATGTGTTAGAAGATTAAAAACTGCTCTGGAGAAAGAGGAACATGAAGAGTGGGGTCAAGAGGGTTGGAATATACATCCTACGTGGGGATGGGGTGTCTTTAAAAAAACCTGATATTGCAGAACTTAGACAATCACCTGGCATATCATAGTCATGCAGTAAATGTTTTTATATGCGTGAATTATAAATTCATGCATTTAGCTTTTCCCTATTAGAAGTGGGAGCTCTCAGTTTGGGAATAAGACGACAATCATTTCACGGACTAACCTTAATCAGACAGAGATAGCCTATTCTCACCACAGAAATCCAACTCAGAGGCAAACATTGCAGTCTTCCTAGAATGTGGTCCCTGGTTTAGTTCTTGTCACAGGCAGAATCAAATTAAAGTTTATTTAGGTTTTAGAAAAACATCAAAAGCACTTTATTAACTACTACATTAAAAGGTATAGCATTCCAGGCTTTATTAAACAAAACATTAGAAACTTTACTGAATATCTGTAGCTTTGGAAAACAATAGATAAGAGAGAGGAAATGAGGTGATTTATATCTCATTTACTCCAACAGACAGAAACTGTGAATTATAATTAAAAGCCATATTGCCTAATGTTGAGGTTTTTTCTAATCTATGAAAACAATATTTCACAAAACGTAAACTGGCTCTGATTCAGGGTCCAATTGTTCATTTCATTATAGACAAAGTGAGTACCATAAACAGACAAAAGAATTCTGACCAGGTGTCACCTAAGTCACCTAAGAGTTAGAAAATCAGGGCCTGAGAAGGTACAGCCATATTTCACACCTTAATTTAGCCTGAAGCCAAACTGGTTTTATCTTTTAAAAGGATGCATAACATGCCAGTGTCATTTTCCTTTTGAGAAAGATGGTTGGTTTTTTGTGATCTTAGCAAGTCTTTAATGTCTCTTCAGGAAGATAAGCTAATAGCGCAAGCTATTTAGAAAGATCAATCCAAGCCTGACTAATCAAGAGTTTGAAAACTACAGGATGAGTGTGTGTTGTGGGCAGTGCCATATTTTGATCATGAGAGAATAAATGGACAGAAGATATGACTAAATTGAAAGGGATTAGATCCAATAAGATCCGTGGGGAGGATGCTAGAGACATGGGCGGTCAACACACCATTTTACAGGATTTTCGACAAGGTCAATGTGTGAAATAAGAACACGATCAGATAATTCTCACTTGGCAACAAGGACACTGTTTCTGAAAAGAATCCCCAGAGCCAATTTCATGTCTTTGTTTCTCAGGCTATAGATGAAGGGGTTCAGCATGGGGGTCACCACTGTATACATCAGAGAGGCAATCATGTCTTTGTCATTGGAGTTGTTTGACGAGGAGGAAAAGTACAGAACCACAATTGTTCCATAGAAGAGAGACACCACACACAGATGGGAGCCACAGGTGGACAAGGCTTTGCAGATCCCTTTGGTAGAGGGGACCCTCAGGATGGAGGCTGCAATGTGGCCATAGGAGGTCAGGATGCCACTCAATGGAAAAATGACAACTACAGCCCCTGCGGTGAATATGACCAGCTCATTGACAGAGGTGTTTGAACAAGACAGCTTGAGTAGAATAGGGAGGCTACAGAAAAAGTGCGGAATGACGTTGTCAGCACAGAAGGATAGCCGGACCAAGAGGAGGGTGTGCAACAGGGCACTGCTACAGGAGAGAATCCAGGAGCCAGCCACCAATAGCACACATAGCCCCTCCCTCATGATGATGGTGTAGTGTAGAGGGTGACAAATGGCCACGTACCTGTCATATGCCATCACTGCCAGAAGGAGATTATCAACACAACCAAAAAGTATATAAAAATACATCTGTGAAATACACCCTGGGTAGGAAATGTGAAGGTGCTGAGCCTGCATGTTCATGAGCATCTTAGGGACAGTGACAGATGAGAAGGAGACATCAGAGAAGGCCAAGTGGCTGAGGAAGAAGTACATGGGCGTGTGCAGGCGAGAGTCCAGCCTGATGAGCAGGATGATGAGCAGGTTGCCCAGCACCGTGGTCAGGTACATGCCCAGGAACAGGGTGAAGAACACGCCCTGCTGCCCTGGCGGGATGGGGAGCCCCAGGAGGAGGAACTGGGACACGCTGCTCTGGTTCTCAGGCCTCATGCTGCTCTTCTGTCTGCTGGGGATGAAGTAGGTTTGGGAGTCTCAGGAACCTAGAAAGGACAACCAGGACCATCCACAATTGCATGAGCCAATTCCTCAAGATCTCATACTGTCATTTTTCTGGGAAAACCATTAATTTTTAATTTAAGTACTATCACATTAATTTCTCACACCTATGCATGTATGAATCTTCCCTCTAATTCAATCTGGCTCCAGGAAAACATTGAACCACAAAATAGTCAACAAGACCTCACCACACAGAAGCAAGAGGGGGTTCACCATTTTATTATACAATTACTTTTTTTTCTTTAGCCCCGCCCTAAACAATTACTTTTAACATCAAGTCTATGTTGGGACCTCTACTAAGGACTGAGATGCAGCAGAGACAAGAGAAGCAACGTGCCCACTTCTATGAATTTACATCTTTTTTATTTTTTACTTTTAATTTCTTTATTGATTAAGGTATTACATATGTGTCCTTATGAGTTTACATCTTGATGAGCATGGAGGGATAATTTCTACATCAGGCCAGAGCCTAACCATAATAATTCACTGTGACAGAAACAGAAGATGAACCCTGGAAAAATGGTGTCAGTTTTTTGTGCCTTAAAGTAACATAAGACTCTAGTGCTCAGTTGGCATTTTGGAGCATTGTCACCCTCCTCCTATGAACCTGCTGAGTCCCATTACACTCAGCTTTAAACTCAGGGACATTCTGGAAATGGGTGGCTATTGAAAGACACTTGATGCCAGAATAGCTCCAAAACAGAATAGTCCACAAACTATCTTTCATATTAATGCTGAACATTTAGATGAACCTTTGGGTACCAGCTACAGACTTTACCTACATTTCCTAATTAAGTCCACATGTCAGCCTTACATTCCCAAATTTTAAAACCTTATCACAGCTGGTCTAAGAATTTGTATTCTTTGACCTATTTTAGTTTTTAAGAAATATAAACATAAATGACACAAATTCTGTAGGCACATAGCAGTACAGCAGGGACAGAATGGCGCACAAATACGTGTGTGTATATTAGTATCTATTACATATGTGATATGTAATGTTTATAACTTGACATATGTGTATTACCATTTTCTATAAATTAAAAATCACCAATTATTAGCTACTTCATGGGGGTTCAGTCTAATATGTCTGTGTGATCAGAAACCGTGCTCTTAACTGTTACACAGGGAAACTTCCTTTTTTTGCTTAAGATCCAAGCGCGGTGTATCATTTTAGAGCTGTGAGGACTCAGAGTTGTCCAAAAACTTTTTATTCCCTTTACTAGATAATTTTATTCCTTCATATTTATTTACTTTCCAACTGAAAAAAAATTATCAAATACATTAAGGTCTATTTATGCAATAGCTATTTACTGATGGCCTCTGTGAGATTCACAAAACTTGATTTATTTTTTCCATTTTATAGATGGGAAAGAGAGACCAATGTTTTATATACCTTCCCCGGGTCTCATCACTATTTAATGGTAATTCTGCCCAATACCTTCACACTCATGATGCCTGGAGTTTATGGTTGTTTTGTTTGTTTGTTTCCCTGGGATGTTTAGTAAAAATAAAGAAGAGGTTAGAAAATCCTGAGTAACTCAGTCACACTCAGGTAAATAAAAATGATAGAAGATCCATTTCAAGAAACATGGTGTTGCTTAGAATTTGAGTATCTTAGATAATGGTGCCCCAGAAGGACACTTCAGAAAATACTTGAGTCATGTATGCAGATCATACACACACACACACACACACACACTGCTGATTTGAGGATTTCAATGAACTGTGATCATGTTCCCATCCTAAGGGAAGGATACCCAATTTGGGGTTCAGCTCATAAACATTCATATACATATACACAATTAATAATTAACACATAAAGGTGGACATACACAACATACAATGGTGCACCAGTTACCCCAAAACACACATGCACATCAACACACCTGCTTCATAACACACCTGGTAAACCTCAACTCACCACATATATGTAACTCAAACACTACACACAATTCACCAAAAACACACAAGTTCACAAACAATTCAAAAATCTTGCAAGAAACACACAACACAACACATATGCACACCCAGCCACACTCACTACAACAAACAGTGTACAGTCTCCTATTAATTAGAGGCAGCCTGTCCCCCTTCTGATCATCCCCTTCCTGGGGATGGCAGTCAGTATGGGGCAGTTAAGCCTACTCAGTCATAGGCACAGTCATTAAACCACCACCAACACTCATGCATGTGGATACACACAGATGGTGACATACACACAGAGAAAATCAAATAACACACCTTCCAGCTCTCACACATGAGTGTCTCACCCACAGGCACAGCTCACATGTGCATCACAACACACTGTTGAGCAGAGGTCTGAGCCTCTCTAACCTGACCTTGGTTCCTTGTGAGATCAGCAACTTCTTGTCCAGCAGCAGAAACAATAGTCTCACTCCTGGTGCTCAGCTGTGATGCCAGTATTCACAGTCACAGACATGAATCAGGAGTCCCCAACCACATGCCAAGAGGCTGATAACTTGGTCTACATGCACTAAAACAAGACTGAATCAGATTCATAGTACATACACACATGCAACTATTAAACAGTATGTACACAAGCATACACAATACATACACACACACATTGGTGGACTCAGTCTCACACATGAGCCCACTAGCACACAGGCAGATCCATCACCAAGGGCAGATTTCCAGCTCCTCTCACCTGGGCTCATCACTGGTGAGTTCAGACACCTTCTGCTGCAAATTATCGCCCATCTCCTTCAGGAGACCTAATATCCAGACACACAGAAGAAATATCTGGGGACTTGGCACTTCTACAGACTTTCATTTTCCTTATCCAACTCCAGAGAAATGAGTCCACAATTGACACTTAAGTGCTAATGAAAGACTACAGCCAAGTCCCCAAGCTTGTGGCTGATTTCTGACTGCCCTTTGGGAGCTGTGTGTCCAAGGGTAAGAGGGACTGGAGTCCTAGGGGACAGTGTCCCTGATTCCAGTCATGCCCTGGACTGCTTTGTTCTTGGGCATTGTTCCAGCTGGGGAGAAGGATTTTTCAACTTTTTATTTTGATATTATTTTAAAGATATAGAAAAGATGTAATAATGATATTAAGAATTCAGCCATATTCCCTAATGGTTAACATTTTACTATGTTTACCTTCTGTGTATGTATATGTATGTATGTATGTATGCATGTTTGTATGTATATTTCAGGCTTAGATTTATAGCTGATATACAACAGTGCATATTATCAGAAGGCATATGGTAATGTTTCCAATAGCTAGTGTTATTATCCTTTTTAAACAAATTTTCAAATTTTATTTATTTTTTATTGTTGAAAGTATTGCATATGTCCCCTTTCCCCTCTCCATTAACCCTTCTAGCCCACCCACACTCCCCATCCTGGACTTTTACCACACTACTGTCTGTGGTGGATTATGCATATATACATAGAAGTTCTTGGGTTGATCTCTTCCCAACTTAGCCACAGGCTTGGGGACTTGGTTGCAGTCTCTCATTAGTAGTTAAGTGTTATCATAGTACATACACATATGCAACTATCAAACAGTATGTACACAAGCATACACAATACATATACACACACACACATTGGTGGACTCAGAATCTCACACATGAACCCACTAGCACACAGGCAGATCCATCACCAAGTGCAGATTTCCAGCTCCTCTCACCTGGGCTCATCACTGGTGAGTTCAGACACTTTCTGCTCCACACTGTAGCCCATCTCCTCAGGAGACCTAATGTCCTGACACACAAAAGCAATATCTGTGGCCTTGGCACTTCTACTGACTTTCCTTTTCCTTAACCAGCTCCAGAGAAATGAGTCCACCCACCATCACCTTCCCTCAGAGATTTTACAGTGTGTGCTAGGCTTCTATGTCCCTGGATTTATTTTATTACATTCCACATAGGAGTGAGATTATGTGATACTTATCTTTCTCTGACTGGCTTATTTCTCTTAGCATTATTACTCTTCAGGTCCATCCATGCTGTTGCAAATGGTGAGAGTTCCTTCTTTTTCTTTTAAATTATTTCCTTTTTATTGTTTTTTTTTAATGACAGTGACAATAATTCCTACACATTAAAAATATCTACACAGCTTATGTTTTCTTTCTTTTTTTGTATTTGCCTACTGATTTTGCCTTAAAATATTTAGAGTTCAACATATTACCTTTATATTTTATGGAAGAGTTCCTATTTATATCTAAACCTCAATCTTTACCACTTGTTTAGCTCTACTTCTATGCAGAAGACAATCTTTGGGGTCTGAGGTATTTTCTTTTTTTAAATTCTTTATTGCTTAAAGTATTATATATAGTATTACATATGTCTACTTTTTTCTTCATTAACCTCTCCCTGGCTACCCCAACCCCCAGCACATACCCTCAACCCCCTAGTATCTGTGTCCATTGGTAGTGCTTATATGCATGCATATAAGTCCTCTTTGATTGATTTCTTACCCCGACCCCTGCCTTCCATCTGAAGTTTGATGGTTTGTTCAATGCTTCTCTGTCTCTGGATCTATTTTTGTTCATCAGTTTATGTTGTTCATTAGATTCCATGAATGAGTGAGAT